TGAGACCACCAGTAAATTGTAATCAGCTTATCTTCTATAGGCAGAGGTTTCTTCCTTGAATACCATTTCTTCCCAGCCTTAGCCTGATCCCTATTTGTTTTATATCAATCCCATAGATTTAGAATTGGTATATCATTCCCTACTCAGGTCAATTACTCAGATAAACTTTCAGGTGCATTGAGCACACTTTGCTTGCAATTACACAGAGATTACAAAGAAAGACCATAAATGTGGCCTTTATTTTCCACAAGTTCCTTGTCTATAATATCTTTCTTAGTGTCATTTCTAGGACTTTCCAACATGAGTATGACCATTTCAGAAAATACCCAAAATTATCCATTGATAATAGAGAGAAAAACTATGTTGATATAAATACGCATGTATGCGTATATATATTATACTGTGCACATACATTTTATCAAGCCAATACAAAGTATATAAAATTTCCCAGGATTTTCATTAGTAGACTGGTACTGGAGTCTCATTCTGACCACATGGCAGATGGTTTTGTGTAGTGCATGAAAAAGAGGGCTCCTCAGGGAAGGTAGGAGTATCGCAACTCAGTGGGGCTGACTGTGGCTCATTTGTTCATTGCTTTCAGCTTATTTCAAATTACTGCTTTTTTTTTTTAATGTGTCCAGTTAAACAGATTTATCTACTATCTAGTTTTAACTAAACTAACCTTCACAAAAAGATACATGGTTTAATGAGATTCCTGCAAAGAAATTGCAGTTTGAAGATAATACTAATCATGAAAGCATAAGAGAACTTTGAATTCTCTGTCAGCCACATGTGGGGAAAGGCAACAATGACAATCTAATAAGATCTGTCAAGAAAACAGGCAAAAAAAAAAAAGAGAAATTATCAGAAGACTATTTGAAATATGGAACCCACACTTCTAATGAAAAAGCTAACCCTCTCCCAAAGAGCATGTTGAGTTTTGAAATAATTAGCCAGTCACCGAACATTTTTGTAACTTAAAAATGAACAAATATTTGTATGTAGGGGGTTGTAAGTTCAAAAGCATTGAGAGGATACACAATCAAAAATGTTTGGAGACCACTGGCCTATTCTTGCTTCTAAAAATATTTTTCATTTCTTTCTGATTATCCTAATTGTAGAAAACTTGGAAATGCAAGAAAGCATCAAAAAATAAGAAAAAAAAATCACCCATATTCTTACCACCAAAAAATAAACATTTGTATTTGCTGAAATGTCTCTTCGATCATAACCAGTTTATATAAAATGTCTTTCATAGAGGTAGGCTGAACCTACAGGGAAAACATTATAGAAAAACATGTTCCACTATAGATCACTTTGGTCTCAGCTATGGTCCTGGTGTTGAACATCTGACTAGCAAACTTAGGATATTTCACTTTAAGTGGGGGCACCCTATGATCTCATTCCAGGTTATAATGTGAGCACCATTATTACTGAGTAAAAAGAGATTGGTGCAGCAACCCATGTGCTATCCTAATGATTACATTAACTGGCCCATCTCGGCTCTCAGTGATATAGCTGAGTCACTCTTAGATGTCTCAAATGCAGGGTAGCAGGCCTCCTCCAGGGTTCAGTAATCCCAAGGAATTTGGAGCATGTCTATCAAATGCCTTCCTTTAGGAAAGAAACCACACTGTAGGTCCTATAATCACAGATCCTGCCCCGGCTCATGTCAGCATCGACATGCCTCTCGTTGCCACCCTCAGTTTCACACACAGAAGCATCTCTACAAGTTTGTTCTTCATCCCACAGTGAGACATAGCTGGTATTTGAATAATCTCATCACCCTCAAAAATAACTTCTGACAATCTGACTTGAAGCAGAACTTTTCCATAGGTTTGGCAGGATTTCCTGTTCTAAGATTAGATGTAGCATACTCCCCAAGCTTTTGGGCCTCCCCCACGAGACAAGGGCACAAGACCCCTTCTAAAATCTGAATGTAACAGCCTACACCAGAGGATACAAAATCCCATCATATTATTGTTGCTGTTGTTGCTTTTGCGACTGAGTCTCTCTCTGCTGCCCAGGCTGGAGTACGGTGGCACAATCTCAGCTCACTGCAACCTCTGCCTCCTGGGTTCAAGTGATTCTCCTGCCTCAGCCTCCCAAGTAGCTGGGATAACAGGCATGGGCTACCACGCCCAGCTAATTTTTGTGCTTTTAGTAGAGACAGGGTTTCACCATGTTGGCCAGGCTGGTCTCAAACTCCTGACCTCAGGCGATCCGCCCACCTCGGCCTCCCAAAGTGCTGAGATTACAGGCTTGTGCCACCACACCCGGTCATTGTGATTTTTCTCTCCCTTATTTTATGAGGCCCTCACACTCTTGCTCTCCTGCATAACAGGTTGTCCAGGTGTTATCCAGTACTTGGGGTAGGAAAAGGAATTTTTATACAAACAAAGGCTGAAGAATGCAAATCCCATAATCTATTTGTTTTGTTGTTGTTGTTGTTTTTCTGAGATAGGGTCTCATTCTGTCACCCAGGCTGGAGTGCAGTAGTATGCTCATAGCTCACTGCAACCTCCATCTCCTGGGCTCAAGTGATCCTCCCATCTCAGCCTCCTAGGCAGCTGGGACCACGGGTGCTCACCACCACACCCAGCTAATTTTTTGTATTTTTGGTAGAGATGGAGTTTCACCATGTTGCCCAGGATGGTCTTGAGCTCCTGAGTTCAAGTGATCTGCCAGTCTCAGTCTCCCAAAGTGTCGGTATTACAGACGTGAGCCACCATGCCCGGCCCCGTAATTTAAGTATCAAATTCCTCTCGTAACATTTAAGCCAGATCCAATTTTAATGTATTTGATTTAAACCCACATTTTTTAAAGGACATTTTCTCCATATGTTTTGGGTTGTTTTTTAGGAGTAGAACTGGACTTGCTAGAATCAATCCAAGCAAAGACACCCTTGTGATGCCCCCAGCTGATGTCAGGGGTGTAGCCAATGTCAAAGCAAAGCTAACTGACCCATTCCGGTACTGAACCAGCAACCCTGACTTCCAGGCCACGCCACCTTTTCAAATAAAACTTAATCCAAACCCTCAGATGACTTCCTCTCCCTTAAGCATGTTTTGAAGTAGATCTGGAATGACAGGAGAGTAAATAAGAAGTACAATTGCAAAACCCCCATACCTGCTAACATAATTTCCTCCCTGGATATAGTCACTTCCAGAGGGCAAAATGGAGGTGATGGATATTGCAGGACGGCCTTGGACTACTTTAATCAACTTAAACTGTATTTATTTCTGTACATCTTAATCCAAATTACTAAAGAATAATGACCCACATACCCTTTCTTTTTTTTTATTACCTTGTTGCCCCACCTTTACAATGTTCACTATATACACTCTTCACTGCATGTCAATATCTTTATTTTTCCACTGGCATTTTCATTGTTTTTCAAAACACGTTTTGATACTACCTGCCACCTGAAATCCTGAGAGTAGATTCAAAATAAATAAAAAGTATAAATAAATTCACCTAGGTTATGAAATCAGTTGGAAGCATAGTTAAGGTCTAGATTTAAAGGCTTATCTTCTCCCTTGTTCCAGAACCTGTCCAGAAGGCACCTTTTAGAACATGAAGTCTTTAAGCAAGAAATTACAAGAACTCCCAAGGAGGCAGGGGTAGAGATGTGCTTCTAAGAGTGTAAGGGATAGAAAGATGAATACCTTTACAATTGCTTTTCTTTTACATTTCAGATTCTCAATATGAACATTTTTGGATCCGGGATTAAAGCAAAGGGGAGCTGTTCCCAAGACAGTCTCTGGTACTGAGTTGGATTAGGATGGGATATTGGAGCTTTCAATATATTTAAAAAAAAATAATTTTCCTTCCAAAGCTGTTCCATTGAAGTTTCCACAGATATTGGGAAGATCACTCTCCAGAAACCCTAACTCCAGAGAGATGGTTGGAATGGAAAACAAAGTTAAGAAATGGTGGGTGAAAAGCTGGCTTTCCCTTCTACCATACCAACCAGGAGCAAAGAGAAGACATGCCTTTAATTTAACCCTTTGCCATCTCTGAAAAGGAAACAGTGCCTTATGTTAGATATTCCTTATACCACAGAAATCGTATGGACCTGGCTACATTACTAATTGGTATGATAAAGGGGACACAAATATACCAGAAAATGTGATTCCAACCTTCCAAAAATAAACTGAGGAGTCTATGAGATGAACTAACAAATGGTCATAGCACAGGCTTACTTTCTTAATAGATAAAAATCAAATTGCAGATGCAGGTTCCCCTTCCTGTGACACCTGGCTTCTTAACTGCTGTGTGATTGAATCTAATGTGTGTTATATATTTTCGGCTCTAAGAAGGCCACCTAATTTTAATATCTACCCATTCTTAAAGCTGTGAAGTTCAATAACTCTACTCCAATCATCAAACTACCAGTTCATAGTATTTCAGCAACCATAATACCAAGTAAGAGTCTAATGGCTAGCAATAAAAAACTTCTTGGCTGGGCACGGTGGCTCATGCCTGTAATCCCAGCACTTTGGGAGACTGAGGTAGGTGGATGACTTGAAGTCAGGAGTTCAAGACCAGCCTGACAAACATGGTGAAACCCCATCTCTACTAAAAATACATTAGCCAGGTGTGGTGGCACATGCCTGTAATCCCAGCTATTCAAGAGGCTAAGGCAGAAGAACTGCTTGATCCTGAGAGGTGGAGGTTGCACTGAGCTGAGATTGCACCACTGTACTCCAGCCTGGGCAACAAGAGTGAAACTCCATCTCAGAAACAAAACAAACCAAACAAACATTTCTCAATGAAGTAATCTACAGACAGTAAGTAAAACAGAGGGGCTCTGCACAGCATCAGGGGATGAGAGGGACTGGAAGGAATGTCACGGTGAAGTGGGAGTTCCTTGCATTCTAAAAATGCATGCTGGATGCTCTAATTTTCTTAGGCTACTTCCCTGTCTCTGGGGCAGTGCCCTCAGCCAGGAAGCACTTCCTGGCCCTTCTCCATCTCCCCTCCTGGCCCCCGACTACCTCGATGGTGTACTGCTCAAAGATGCGCAGTTGCAGGAAGATGTCCAGCTTGATCTTCCGCTCGTGGAACAGCTCCTCCATCTGCACCTGGGCATCATCAAGCTGCTGCAGGACCGACTCGATGTGGCTGATGGAGCTGGTGTGGGGTGTTTTGTTGTTGGACACAGCCGAGTCCCTGTGGCAGAGTGGGGGAAAAAAGAGAAGGAGAGGCCTTGCCATATTAAAAAGGACAGAGAAGGGGGACCTTCTTCATCTGAGCAAGGTGGATGTGAATCAGTTGAGTCATTCAATCAACAGATATTTATCAGACTCCTTCTGTGAGCCTGATGCTATCTGCTTAATGGATGAATCAAAGATACACGCATCCTTTTTTGGGTTCACAAGTCTATTTCCAAGACTAGTTGTTCTCCTCAAGCAGAACTGTGAAAGAAATAAGATGAAATGATGTATGAGAAAAAACTCTACAACACATAAAATATCAGAGAAATAGAGTGCTTCCACATATATATGTAGTCTAATACAGATAGTTTCAATACACACACACATCATCTATCAAAATACATACAGATGTATTAAAGGCATATTTTAAACAAATCTTCCTAGTTTTACTTCACAGACTCTTTGTTAAAACAGATGATGTCATGGTTGTCAAAATTGTAAGCATGCACTTTATAAAGCTATGCTAAAATTATGGGCTAGCGTTATTCTACTAAACAGCTCAGGCTGTACTTAGAAAAGCATAGGATATGGAGCCTGCAAACCTGAATTAGGTCTCTGCTCTGATACAATTGGCTGGTGGCCCTGGGAAATCACCTCTCTGAGCCTCAGCTGCCTTAATCTGTCGAGTGGACTTAATAGCAGTGGACTTAACATGTTATTTCTGCCTGCTCATTTCACAGTTTGCTTTTAAATAAGAGTGCACATGAACTAAAAGCAGTAACATGTTGTATGGACAATTATTAATCCTAAAAGGACACAAGTGCAGTGTCAAGTGCTGATCAGGAGAGTAACCGCTAGCTCATAAGAAGCTGGGACAAACAACAAAGGTTGCAAGGAGTTTTGATTTCGGGGTTTGAAGAAATGGATGAACACAGTCAAGTAACAGGAGGGGGTGTGACCTCCTCTGAGCAGAGAGAGTCTATATAAAAGTAGTAGGGAGAGGTGATGCCTTGTAGAGGCGAACCAAGAGATAAACAGATTGATCTGCTCAGCAAAATGAGGTGGTGGTAACTATAATGGGAAAACAGTGGAGGCTAAGAAGTTTAGATTCCACAGGGCCTTGAGTGAACTAGAGCCCTAAAACTTGAAATAAACTGGCACATTTATTATCTTGTGACATCTTAGCTTCTCACACAATTTAAGGAGTCAGAGGACAAGGGGAAAATAATTTATTTCCAATCATCTCATCAGCAGGCTTTCTGAAAGCCATGTTCTTTTAGCCTTGTTTGTCTCAGAAGCAATGGTATCTGAGCGCATTCTGTTTCTGAAGATGGCATAAGGCTAATTTAACAAGTGCCCTTCCCTCTGTCATTCAGAGGGCTCCCAATTCCTGCCTCCTCACCCTGTCCTGTTTGGTCATGATACAGGCACAGTTTCTATTCCCACAACTGCATGGACATTCTCAGGCACGAAAAGAACATAAGAGATGTACTCAATCCTGTTACGTATTTGTTGAGGGCTTTGCTTCTGGGAGGATATAATTATTCTCTTGGACTCCTCCTGTGTCTTTCTTCATCACACATCTTCCAGAAGGAAGAGAATGATTTCTGACCATTTTATGAGGCACTATGTCAGTGTCACACTCACTAGGAATCACAGAGATGATGCAAAAGCTCCCTTAGGTGCTCTAGTGATGAGTGTCAGAAAAATCAGGAAGGCCTAGGGAAGATGTTTCTGGTGTCTGTGAGGCATCTTGCCAATGCCCACTAAGCACCATTTACTTCTTTTTCTCTTTGACTTGCCTTGATGTTAGGGGGGAGACTAGGCTAGAGTCAGGTTAGTGGCACAATGAATGGTCACCAGTGGCTCTTGGTTATATGCCTATGGTACTCTCTGAAACCCATGAAATGTAATCTTACAGAACAGGCATCACCCACATTGTTGCGTTTGCCACTGTCAAGTAGCATTACGCCCTTAGGCACTGTGCAGGCTTACAGTTGTTAAGAACAAGTGGCATCTCCATAGGCCTAGCCCCACAGAAAGTGAAGCCAGCCAAGCCTGTGAAAAGTATTTGAATAGATGACACAAAGCCATCACAGAATTCTAGAGCTGCCAGAGATCCTGGAGCGAACCCCTTAATGACACAGACGAAGCAGCTGAGGCCCAGAGAGGTTAAATGACTGTCCACTATTTGGAATTTTCTTCAGAAACAAATGACAGTGGAGTTTCCTAGGGAGGCAGACAAAGCTGTCATGTATTATATATTCACCAAGATGAATTAGGGGAAGACAGAAAAGAGGCCGTCTTGTTAGCATGCAGTAGGAGGATTCAGAGCATCTCATGTGCATGTTTAGAATAGAAATTATTAATTTCCAACAGAAAAACATGCCAGGGCCTTCTAAAGGTAATTTCTCATTGTTTATTTAATTGGACAACTGGTATTGGGGGAAAAAAAAACCCTCTCCAATTGAAGTAATTCCCTCAGGCCTCAGGGCCGGCCTGGGACTTGCTGATGAGATTATTTCTGTCCAGAGCTGGCAGAGGTCCCAGCACTCAGTGATTTTGGGATAGGAACAAGTCCCTGTGGGCAGCCATCATTAGCACCATCAAATCCTATTTATATAGCACCTGGGCATGGGGTTGGTTGCTGGGGGCTTGCTTAAGGCCTCATGACACTTTATCTAAGGAGCTTGACAGGGGCAGAAAACTAGATATTGATGCCGATGGAAAGGAGGCAATGGCCTGGGTAATTCTAAACAAAAGCAGGATTTTTAGACAGGATTTGTCTCCGTAGTTATGTTTGTTTAGGTTGATGCAGAAGGAGTTTTTTTGTTTTTTTTTTTCTGGGCAGCAAGGAATGGTGAAAGGTCATAATTGGGTAACAAGGAATTGGTAGGACAACACCACAGTTTTTCTATGTCTTCATGGGTCCAGAGTCAATCAGCAAAATGCTCCAATTTTGCTGACTGGGGCAGTGGAGGTCAGAGTTTAGCCTAAGACCCAATGTCAGCATTATATTCCCTAATGTCTATTTCTCTGCATGAGCAAATATGCCCTAATTCTTAATGATTTTTTACTGTTTTTTTCTTCTTTTGTAAATTTTTGTTGTATTTATGTTACTTACTGACTGTTGAATAACATCCTGAATGATAAATAATGCTTTGAAACATTAAAGCCTTTCCATTTAGTATTTGACTCTAGACTCAAGTGGGTATGGTGCAGGCATTTTTACATATTACAGATAAAGAAACTGAAGCTCACACATGACCACAAAGCAAGATTTTGCAGAGTCAAGACTGGGACAGGACTTATCTCACGTCTAGCCCGAGGCATTTCACACTGGAAAACTCTGCCCATGCTGACCTGGCCTCGCTGGGCTCCCCCAGGGAGGGAGGCGCTGACCTGAGCTGCTGGATAAGGTCTTCGCCTTCCTTGATGACATTGAGCGTGGCATCTAGAGTGGCAGTCTGCTGCTGCTGGAACTGCTTGATCAGTTCCTGGACTGCATCCACAGAGTCTGCACATACATCCTCCAACATCTCCTTCTGAAGATCTTCCATCCATGTCCACAACTGTGGAGAGAGAGTAGAGACTCCACTCAGGGCAGATGGAGAGGCCAGGGCTAGGGTGAGGGCAAGGAAGCTAGACTGGAATCACCCAACTTACTCTCAACCAGTCAGTGCCATTCTCATGAGCACACCTATGGGTCAGTTTGTGTTTTTACATTTATATTCATTACCAGTCTTTGCTAATTTTACTCCATTGGTGTTGGTCTTCCATAATGACAGGAATCACCCCTGGCTTAACTTCCCTGTGGTTCAGGGAAACCTACTGGTGTGGTCTTAGAGCAAGGAGATCAGTTATTTTTGAGACACTAGGAAGAACAGGAGACTAGAATGAACGAATATTATTTCATCTTTCAGACAGGAGGAAAGGGAGCAATGTGCTCTGTGCACAATTGATTCTTAGAAATGTGTCATGATATTGCAAATATACAAAAAATGTAGTGCTCAATAAGAACTAAAAGCACATTAATTGAGCATAATCTGTACATATGCCATACTATTTTGTTCCTTTTAAAACTGCTAGATTGGTTAAAAAGTTGAATGCTAAAGATGTGGCTTAATTTCAATAAATATATGAGACATTTTCCCACGTTATTCAAGATGATAAAATGAAACTAGGTATTACTGGCTAGACAACTTTAAAAGAGCTAAGTATAGTGTTTGAAAAAAATAAGCACTGTAAATGATGAGGAGTTAAAACTGAATTACTGAAAAATCATTTATTGATGGCTTTTCCTCATCATACTGAATACAGATCTCCAGTGGCCTGCCAGAGAGCTCACTTTTGACTACTTTTATTGAGAATTTTCAGAAATGAGAGAGAGGAAGGTAAGTCTGACGCTTGCTTTGAAACCAGGAGTCTTCATCTGACTATCAGGAAAGATAAGCTCAAGGCTCTACCAGGAAAAAAAGCCAGTAAAGAGGGAAAAATGACAGATGGAGTCAGAAGATGCAGATTTTGGCTTCTGTTCCTCCCATTACTCGTGGTGCCTTTGCACAAATCACTATACCCTTTGATCTCCAAGACATCATTTGTAAAGTAGGTTGGGGAAAGCATGAAATAAAATGATTAGTTTCCATCTGGTTCTAACATCTTAAAGTCTTCCCTGTTAAAAACATAGATAAATGTCTACCTCAAGAACATTATTTCTTGGAGTTAGTTCTTAGTATGGTAAATTACAGTATGGCCTTTTCAATAAGGGAAGATTAAAAAAAATAAATAGAGACAAAAATAGCCTTTAAGATTTTGGACAGGTTATTCTTTGTTCTTTAGATAGAGAAGCCCTAGATGTGGCAGAAGAGGTTAAAGGAAGATTAATAAGCTTTGGAGGCCATAAATAAAGTACAAAGAATGTCTTTTTTGATGGGGTGCGGCCGGAAAGGCAGCCACCCCCTTAAAAAAAAGTCTTTTTTGTATAGGTGAGACTGCCTGAGCCTCAGTTTCCCAATCTATAAAATGGGAAGAATAAGATTTGACCTGCTCACTTTGAAGACTGTGAGGGCTGAACTAGGTCCTTATTATTAATGCTTTAAATAAACTTCTTGCAGTATTAATAAGCCTATAGCATTGTACTGATTGCTATAGGAAATGCAAATTATTATTCAACATCCCTGACATTTATCAGCTTGCAAATCTGCTCATAATTAGTTCAGTTTATTTCCTTTCCAAATAAAACACCAAACAAGTTTTCCAGACCATATAAGCTGGGATACACGTTGCTGTAAGTATGAATATACTAATTTCAAATCAGCATAAATGGGGAAGTGTAGGATATTGATAATGATAGCTTAATGTCACTGCATATTTTCTGGCAGTAATTTTGTCTAGAAAGAAAACACATTTTCTAAGTGTACTTAAGTCTTTAGGGAAGAGGTGATGGATTATCTGAAAAATTATTGTACAGAGAGGCACTGTAGCATAGTCTTTAAGAGTTTCAGGGGCTGGGCACAGTGGCTCACGCCTTTAATCTCACACTTTGGGAGGCCAAGACAGGCAGATCACCTGAGGTCAGGAGTTCGAGTCAAGCCTGGCCAACAAGGCAAAACCCTGTCTCTACTAAAAATACAAAAATTAGCCAGGCATGGTGGCAGGTGCCTATAACCCCAGCTACTCGAGAAACTGAGGCAGGATTGCTTGAGCCCAGGAGGCAGAGCTTACAGTGAGCCAAGATCACACCACTGCACTCCAGCATGGGGAATAGAGCAAGACTCTGTTTACAAAAAAAAAAAAAAAAAAAAAAAAAAAAGTTTCAAATCCTAGTTCTACAACATATTAGCTATATAATCTTGAGTAAGTTCCTTATTCTCTCTGCACCTTGGCTTTCCTTATCAGTAAAATGGAGATAATAACAGTGCTTGCGTCTCAGAGAGTTGCGATAAAGATTACAAGTAAGTTTATGTGTGTGTGTATATACAAATAACTTATTTACCTTACTTATCAACAGTTCCTGACATATAGTCAATGCTGTATCAGTGCTACATATTATTACATTTAAAGATATTTTTAGCCTAGACAGTATGGTAAGATCCAGTCTCTATAGACTTTAAAAAAAAAAAACAAAAACACACACACACACAAAAGTTACATGGGCATGTTGACACACACCTGTAGCCACAGCTCCTTGGGAGGCTGAGGCAGGAGGACTGCTTGTTCCCAGGAGGTCAAGAATGCAGTGAGCTGTGATTGTGCCACTGGACTCCACCTGGGTGACAGAACAAGACTCTGTCTCAAAAAAAAAAAAAAAAAAAAAAAAAAAAAAAAAAAAAAAAAATTTGCTGTAATCCTAGCACTTTGGGAGGCTGAGGTGAATGGATCACAAGTTCAGGAGGTCAAAACTAGCCTGGCCAAGATGGCAAACCCCTTACCTTCTTAAAAAAAAAAAATATATATATATATATATATATATATATATATAATATGTATTTGCTGCAAGTCACCTCCAGTTCCCACTAGAGGGCAGAGGGAAAGTTTGAAGTACTCCTTAATTTTGGAGTTTGTATAAGATCAACATCAAATTTGGTTCTTCAAGCTACTAAGTTGTGCTGGGCTTCTCTTTTCTGTTTTTTGCCACTTTGTTTCAGGATAATTGAGGAAAACCTAGAAATTGTGCTAAAAGAAAAACAGATGTGAAGAGAGAGAGGTGAAATTGTGGACATGGAGTACACAGTCACTGCCTGGTGGCAGCAAATTTACACTGCAAACTCATAATTTTGAATAAGCATCTCTGAGGCTTAGCACCATAAGGTAGATAGAAATAAAGTTGGTGTGATAAACCATGAGTAAAGGTCAATATCCCATTTCTTGGGCTGTAATTTTTCTAGCTCTCAATGTCCCATCAGTTTCCTCTGTGTATGTCCCTCTGATTCAGCCCTGAAGAATATGCTTTGAAAAGAGTCCAAATTAGAGGGACCATTCTGCTGCTACATTACTGGTTATTAAGCAGTCAGTGAGACCCAGCCAGAATGATCTTTTCTGTCAAGCTACTATAAGCCAATGTTTGCTGGAACCAATTAGGTAAAATCACGGAGTGAGTACGGTAGCTTGGCAGCAACAACCACGTGTATCTTTTTCCCCACTGTCTTCCATCTTGGTTTCTCTCCTTTGGGTGATCCTCTTTACCCTCTGCTTAACTAAGGTTGAACATGATAGCACTATACCTTCTTCATCAACCCACCTCCTCCCCAGAAGGAAAAATCCCATGTTTCATCCATTTCCAGACCCTTTCTTCTTGATCAAAATAGATGTGTACTATGACCCATTCTTTCAGGGTACTGTTCTCCTCTTGGCAATGGTTGCTCACTCCATACTAACATATGCATGTACATGGTTTTATGTATTCTTTTTTTCAGAAAACACATGTGGTAGTGGCCAAAAATACCTACATCCAAAAGAATGTATCCAATTTGAGAATTTCCAGAACCTTGACAGGAATAGAGTTATAAAGGAGGTTTTTCATGCCCTATATAAGATTAGCTCTAATAGTGAACCGGTGAGTTCAGGAAGGGCCAGCCCACAGAGCCTCTCCTACTTGCATAGTGGGGCAGCCTGAGAAAGGAACAACTGAAAACACAGGAAGGAAGGAGACAAAAGAGGAAGAGCTAGGAGGTTTGTAGGAAAAATAATGAGGCTTACAAACCAGTGGTGAAGGGAAGAGGTCATTTTATTTCATCACTTTCTCCTGCTGATTGGCTGTTCCATTTGCACGGCTTGGGCAGCCATTGTCCTGACACAACTGATTAACAACAATGGTATCAACAATCTTTAAGGATGTTAAAAGGCACACCATTTCCACAGGGTGAATCTCCTCCTCCCTCATTGTGAAACGATAATTTTTCCTTGGCATCAACCACCAGCTTGTTTCTTAAACAGTACAACAGAACAGCAAGTGAAACAGCGGATGAGGCTATTTTGTTCTTAAGGCCATCTTCCTTCTTAAAGACCAATTTAGTTTTGGTTCCAGGGTGGGTGGGTAGAGGAAAACGTGTATATGGGAGTGTCTGTGGTGTGTCTGTACCTATATGAGTAGGAAATGGTGTGGCAGGATGACTCCACAAGGTGAAACAAAGAAGTGGGACTTAATTAAGCTAATAAAGAGCAGAGGTTGGTTACTTCTCCCACACTTCTTATTTAACTTGACTTATATTTATACTACAAAAATATCCAGAAATGGATATTCTGCAAGCCAAGTGACTGTGGCATTTCCTTGGAAACACAGCAAGAAAAGAGAATTCTATGATGACTATTTCTGCAGGGCAGGTGCTACAAATGCCATGTTCCTGGACGAAGAGAATGAGGACTTGGGTCAATGTTTCTCTCTATGCTCGCCCTAGCTCTCTAGCCCAGAAAACAGAGCTGGCTGCCCTCTTGGCCCCAGGCAAAAGAAGGTATTTGAAAATTCAGCACAATTTGTACTAATAGTAGAGATTCTAAATGTATAAGAAAGTCCCAAGTACATGTTTGTCGCCTTTCTTAATTCTTCTCTATAAGTAGGAATGAAGTTTTGCTT